TCAGGAAACATCCAGAACCCCTTCCGGTGAATTCCGGAACCTTTCCGGATATCAAACACTACTATCCACATATCAATCTTTACTTCTGGACCATTCCGGAGTTCCTCGTCATATCCGTGATCTCATCCAAAACTCCGAATAACATTCGGTCACGAACATACATAACTCATAGTACTATATCGTCAACGAACGTTAAGCGTGCGGACCCTACGGGTTCGAGAACTATGTAGACATGACCAAGACAGCTCTCTGGTCAATAACCAATAGCGGGACCTGGATGCCCTGGCTCCTACATATTCTACGAAGAACTTTATCGGTCAGACCGCATAACAACATACGTTGTTCCCTTTGCCATCGGTATGTTACTTTCCCGAGATTCGATTGTCGGTATCTCAATACCTAGTTCAATCTCGTTACCGGCAAGTCTCTTTCCTCGTTCCGTAATACATCATCCCGCAACTAACTCATTAGTTGCAATGCTTGCAAGGCTTATAGTGATGTGCATTACCGAGTGGGCCCAGAGATACCTCTCCGACAATCGGAGTGACAAATCCTAATCTCGAAATACGCCAACCCAACAAGTACCTTCGGAGACACATGTAGAGCACCTTTATAGTCACCCAGTTACGTTGTGACGTTTGGTGGCACACAAAGTGTTCCTCCGGTAAACAGGAGTTGCATAATCTCATAGTCATAGGAACATGTATAAGTCATGAAGAAAGTAATAGCAACAAACTAAACGATCAAGTGCTAAGCTAATGGAATGGGTCAAGTCAATCACATCATTCTCCTAATGAAGTGATCCCATTAATCAAATGACAACTCATGTCTATGGTTAGGAAACTTAACCATCTTTGATCAATGAGCTAGTCAAGTAGAGGCATACTAGTGACACTCTGTTTGTCTATGTATTCACACATGTATTACGTTTCCGGTTAATACAATTCTAGCATGAATAATAAACATTTATCATGAAATAAGGAAATAAATAATAACTTTATTATTGCCTCTAGGGCATATTTCCTTCACTCACTCCCGCAGATACGTACAAGATCAGCCAAAAAATACGGCTTGAGCTCTGGCTGTGCGGCACTGTACACCGCCACCAACGCCCAATTAAAACCGTCGGCCTTTGATCTTATCCGGAATTTTACCGCAAAATCTCCCATAACCATACTCCAAACTTCCAACGACTCATATTTAACCCCAAGTAAGATCCCACCGGACCGTCCTCTTGGGGGGTAGGCAATGCCAATAAAAATCGACACCCCCGATAAAGTACTAAGAAACTGGGGGGGGGGCGTGAAATTGTCCCTCCCAGTTTCTGATAGGGCGATGAAATCTAACTGGTATTCAATAGACGCATCCGCTAAAAATCTTCTTTTAGCCAAGTCCTTAAGACCTCTGCTATTCCAAAAAATGCCTCTCATATTTCATCATGAATTTTTTTAAAGGTACGGATTCTAGCACTTCTACGCACAGCCGAAGTGGGATACACCTTCCGTTTCCACTTCCACTTAGGCTTAGTTTGATCCAAAATCCGGTCCTCACAACTGGACTCCGTGGACATAACTTCTGGAACATCTACATGTAACGAGTTTCTTGGGGAGTCGAGACCCTCATCGTCCTCCGTCTCAGGAAGTGAAGGGGCCAAATCCGCACAAAGACTGTCAAAAACCCTGACACCCAACGCATATATGTCTGACTCGTTCATGGGTTTGACGGCTGCTAAGTTATGAATCAATTCCAAAGCACGCTCCGCTTCGAGGTCGAGAATATCATTAACTGATTTAGTGATTTCACTACCATTACTACCTAGTGAAACCCCGAATTGATTTGCATTGTGAACAATCTCATCCTTTGAAAAATGTAAAATCGAATTTGACGTGTTGACCGACATACCAGTAGTGACCTCAATGTCACGAAGCTTGGCCGCCCGCATGGCGCACCTGAGCTGCATGTCATCAACATCCGGCTGATCCTGAAGGCGACTGCTCATCCGTCATCCTTCAAACACAGGATCTGGGATCCCTCCAAAAGCAATAATCTCCTCACGCGTGGCCCCGTTCGGGGTGGGGCCTCCTGCCCGACCCCCAACAGAACTCAGCTGAACTGGGCCACCGAGAGGCTCCCGAGAGCCGTCGAGATCTCCTGAGCCAAGGGAGAAGAGGCGGCGGAGGCCACCTGCCCGCGCCCCCCTCCTGTCCTGGCCCCACCGTCGGAGTGAGGGATGGTCACCATCGGGCTCGCCACCCTAGGCGATGCAGCCACCACGGACACCGTCGCAGACGAGAGCGCCAAGGGGGAGGTAGGGGTGGAGGCCTCCTGCCCGCGCCCCCTCCCGGTCCAGCCGCCGACGCCGAACGCGCCAACGGAGAGGCAGGGGCGGGGGGCTCCTGCCCACGCCCCCACCCTGTCCGGCTAACATGGCCGAGTGCGTCGAAGGAGAGGCAAGGGCGGAGGCCTCCTGCCCACGCCCCCTCTCGGTCCTACCGTACCACCGTCCCGCGGCACGGCCACCGCCAGAGGAGGCGGAGATGTACATCGCAAGGCCGCCTGCCCACGAACATCCCCACCAACTAGGCCCTCCTGGACACCTAGATCAATCTCCACCTGTGATATCGTGAACTCTCCACCGAGGGTACCGCATCAACAAACTCATCAACCACCGGATCATCAGCAATATCAAAATCCAAAGGAGGAAGCGATCTCTCAAGCATGTCATCACGCTCCATCCGATCGCTCCACAATCAGGGAGGAGCGGAGGCAGGCTCGAAGGACCCAAATCTCAGCGAGTTCATGGGTGCAACCGTCGATGGAGCAGTCTCTTTCCCGGATGCCGGTGCATCGGAACCCGGGATGTTAGGCGCCTTGCGCCCACTGTCATCCTCGCGCACCTCCTTATTGCCCGAGCCATCATCCTTATCGAGCATATCAACGTCATTCGCAGACAAGACCTCAGAGAAGAGCTCGGTGTCCTCGAACTCAATCTGAGGTTGAAAATCATGCCTCTGTGAACCCACTTAACCACATCCGGCACGTACTCAATGTCCAGGATACTGACAAGCAATCATTGAGTCCGTCTCCACGATCCTCGGCAGGCGGGCATATGTAAAGTTCATGGCGTTACCATCCTATGCCTATCTACATCTAAAGATGCTAGGCCCAAATGGTACCATCAAGGTCAGCGACAACACCGAGAAGGCACTAGAAGCAGAGGTCGCCACCCTGGAGCACGTCGAGGCTGCTCTCGCATCAGCGGAGCTGGAAGAACTCAAGAAGACAGTGGACTCGACTACCACTTCCTTGCCCATGAAGCCTAAGCCCGGAGAAGGCCATTGGTTTCTCCATGTCTAGAAAGGGCATCCTGCATCAAACATTTTGGCTGGACATACCTCCTCGGGATGGGGTGGCGGAGAGGAAAAATCGCTACCTAGTGGAGGTGTCTTGGGCATTGATGTTCACCATGAATGTGATTTCCATTTACTCTTATGAGGATCAGGCTGAAGGGTCAGTTGCTACAAAAAGGTCGATTGATTGTTTTGAGAAGAACTACTCGAGCAACAGGAGGGATACCAGAGAAAAGGTATGGATACATTGACAAAATTCAACATGATAGGATCACCTGAGGCTGTTTGTCATATGGGTCAAACAGATGCTAGACTGCGAGTCACTGGGACGAAAGGATAGGAAGCAACAGCCGAAACCTGCACCTGTCTGGACACCGCCTGCAGATGACTTGCTGAAAATTAACAGTGATGGAAGTGCGGCAGCTGACAGTTGCCACTTGCCAAGGGGGTTGGGTTTTTTTTTTTTTGAACTTAAGGGGGTTGGGGTTTTGTTATTAGGGACTCGTCCGGGGAAGCTGTTGCTGCTGGTGCCGGTCACTTGCCCTATGTTCAGGATCTCCTGAAGCGATAGTCTGCCTGGAAAGCCTACAAGCGGCCCAGCAATGGGGTATATGGGTTCGGTGGTCGATCGTGGAGACGGACTCAATGATGCTTGTGCAAGCTGTCAATGGACCAGAGAGCATGATCGTTCCATGAATGGTACCACTTTCAAGGAGATTAAAGCCTTTGCTAGACTAAGGTCTCCTTTGGTTCATAGGATAGGAATATTATAGGAATAGGAAAATAATAGGAAATAAGATGACATGCATCTCAATTCCTATAGAGAAGGAGATGTCATTTAATGCATAGGATATAAACTTTTCCATTGAGTCTTAGCTAATGTTTTTTTCCTCCAAAATATGAAGGATTGATTCCTATCCTACATAGGAATAGGAATTCATTCCTACAAACCAAAGGGCTTCAAAGGAAATTTTTCTTTGCAAATCCTATCCTATAGAAATCCTATGAAATTACTACAAACCAAAGGAGGCCTAAACTTTTCCCATTTTAGTTCATTGCCCACGGGCATGTAATAAGGCACTAGCTGATACACATGCTCTAGGGAGAAGGTGCGTGTCAGGCCTCGATAATCACCGTCGGTGGCGAGGTCGAGCACAAACCTCAACGTCAACCTCGCGGCAATAAACCTGTTGCCGTTGCCGGCGTTGGACGGCGGAACAAATGCCACCTGATTCTTTTTGCAGTAAATATAGTCCAGTTTGTACGAAGTCATGTGCATCTCTTGCGCAACTTCTCACAAAAAGCAACAGAGATAGTAGAACCGATTTGTATAAATGTATATATTATTACTCTACCTCAAGTCATAATCTGCTTCGGGTCACATTTGCATATAATGATACGAACAAAGGTTCCAGAAAATAGAAATTGTCTAGTAATATTTGATTTGTGAATCAAATTTGGTAGATTATCACAACTATTCTCCCATGACATATCTGAAAATAAGCACCGAGCTGCACAACAGTCAGCACCGCAAACAAGCCTGCGTCCGTCTCAAAAGGAAAGCCTGATGATTCCATCCAGTAGATAATCCTGCAAGTTGCTGCTCTATACCTCCAGACGTCAAGGTTTCATCTCCCAGCGGCATCAATATCAGATATCTGAATTAGAAATGGAGGCATCAGTCATATCTGAATCAACATTAAGAAAAATACTGGGTGTTATAAGCAATAAATTTTATTAGTACAAATATAGTAAGAAATGCCATCAATTGGAAATGATAATGACCAGTACAATCATGCAAAGGTACAGAGCAATATAACTTCAAAGAAAGTAGCTAATACAAGTCCTAATCCGGCATGATAGAACATGGCTTTGCTTTATTCTTACGATAGTCTAAAAAATAATGACGAGTATATCCCCAAGATGAGAAACATATCGCCTAAGTTTATGCCTGGCTAACATACTACATCTTATCGAACAAAGACCGAGCAATCCACATCTGTTGTCCCTGCTTCGTCGCCTCTGTTACGGCCTAACCCTCACTACACCTTCCACGCCGACCTGCATGGAATGTGGCGGCGGTGAGGCCCGTGCGTTGGACACAGCGGACAACAAGAGCGCCGCAAGCAGTAGCAGTTTGATGCCACCGACGCTAGCAACATTACCTGCAGCGTCGGCTTGGATGGTTCCCGTCACCTCCGCGGCCCTTCCTGTTCACAATCCTCTGTCCATCCCCACCAGACCAACAGGAGGAGCAGTGCGACAGCCACTCCGCTGCCCAAGCTGAGCCGGCAAGCAGAGCGTAAGCAGCTCCACAGACGCCGGCAGCAACACCGCTAATCTGACTTGAACCACTTCGGTTTCTGTCACCTCCCTCTCCCTTTCCTGCCTTCTCGCCTCCCTGGGGCCATCCCCACAACGGCCTTGCACGTCTGCCCATAATATACCGGGGTTTGAGTCTTGCAACAATGGCCCTGTGTGTGATCGTCAAGATCAGGGATCAGAGAGAGCGCCTTTTAGTTGTTAGGACAGGGGCTAAACCACTCACAGCTTCTTGCGGCTTCCTAACAATTAATGACACAAGCAGTTACCCAGATTCAGGCCACACATAGGTGTAATACCCTACTCCTGCTTGTTGTGTGTTTGATGGATGATGTACAAATGAACTACAAGCTTGAGCTGAGTGCTCGCAGCTAGTTTTGGTAGTGCTCAGGTGGGCTTCTAGCTAGGCCTCAAGGTGCATAACTTGCTTCCCTTGCGGAGCCCATTTCTTTGGAGGAGGTCCGAGAGGACATCAATCTTATGCCGAGCAATAAGGCTCCCGAGCCGGACGGATTCACCGGGCTATTCTTCAAGTGTTGTTGGGACATCATAAAAGACGACGTCACACGGGTGATCTCGCTCTTCGGCAACCTCCACACCAACAACCTTCATTGCCTCAACTCCGCTAACATTGTGCTTATTCCGAAAAAGGAGGGCGTCGACGGAATCACCGACTTCTAGCGTATTAGTCTCATCCACGCCATCACTAAGATTGACGCCAAAATCTTAGCAATGTGGCTTGCCCCACACATGAAGAAGCTTGTCTCCAATGCCCAAAGTACCTTCATAAAGACAAGGAGCATTCATGACAATTTCATGTACGTGAAAAGTCTTGGCAACGCCTCCGCAAGAGCAAAACCCCGCCCCTCCTATTCCGAAGGCCTTCGACTCCCGTCAAGTGGGAATATATCATTGACATCATGCAACACCGTGGGCTCCCAAGCACTTTCCGGAATTGGATCACCGCTCTCTTGTGCACCTCCTCTTCGAGGGTGCTCCTCAACGGCATCCCGGAAAATCCTATCACCCACGGCCGCAGCCTTCGTCAAGGGGACCCCTCTCCCCCCTACTTTTTCTCATCGCCATCGACCCTCTTCAGAAAATCCTCAATATGGCAACTAGGAAGGGGTTGATGCACAAGATTCGTGGTTGTGGTACCATCATCAAAACTTCCCTCTACGCCGATGATGCGGCTATGTTCGTCGCCCCCATAAAGAAAGACATAGACAATCTCTCCATCTTGCTTAATGCATTTGGCGACATCACGGACCTCCACACGAACTTTTAGAAAAGCTTGGTGGTTCCAATTCGATGTGGCCACATCCCCCTTGGTGACATTCTCCAAAGCTTGCCAGCTGCACGTGCTTCATTTCCGATGAAATATTTGGATCTACCCCTCTCGGTCTGGCAACTCAAAGTCAGGGATTTTCAGTTCCTTGTGGACAAGATGGCTGCCAAGCTTGTCCCCTGGGATGGCCAAAGTATCACCGTCATTGGACGCGCTGCTCTTGTCAAGTCCATGCTTTCCTCGCAAGCCATCTACTTC